GTTACATGATAAATTGAAGATTATTATTCAATTAATCAAGATTCACGAAACGCATATTTTTGGGTACAAAATCCATTTTTAGTGAACTTCCAACATAAATTGTGCTTAAAAAATGCAAAACTTTTGTTAGAGTTATCATCAGATGTTGATCTACATTCGAAATTCAAATCAATGTGTTTCAAACATTTTTGAATTGAACACAAAGTCAATTATCACGTGCTTTTTAAGGGAGCAATGGAAATTTTATTTCCATTTTTTTTCGACATATTTGTGGGAGGTTGAATTATCCGGAATAACCCATACAAAAATTAAAACCAGAAATAAGCTTTATATTGCACATAATCTACGGCGTGGTATTGACTTCACCAGTGGAACCATGATTAGATAAAATTGCCATGATAAAACATGTATAATGCTCTCAATTAAATATTGTTTTTTTAATTTTAATTTGTATTTATTTTATATTTATTTTATTTTTTTTTAAATTGATACACCGGTATTGTTATATTTTATTTATATATGCTTTTAACTTTTTATTTTTTGAACCAAAATCCAAAGAGGTCTGTAGTCCTACTTAAAAGCCATCAAGATGGTCTGCGACAACAAAGAGGTTATAGAGTAGAGAAATTATATTATTAATGATGTAGCATTAGTAAAGCTGAACAACTAGATAACAAAGCTAAAATAATACATGGAACATTAAAAGAACAAACATTAATAATATTCACAAATGGTTTATGGATACAACCATTCATCAGAACAATTTTAAAAGAACGTAACCCAAAAACTCTTAAAGAAGCAAAGCAATTGACAAAATCTGAATAGACTGAGAGGACTGAGTTTAACTCGGGACAAGACAAATTTTAATAAAACAACGAAAATGCAAATAAAAATATTAATGGTTTCTCGAATAATAACAATTTTTAACCAAAAAATTATATATCATTTAATAGTAGTTAATAATAATAGAAGTTTTTGATTAAATAATACGAATTGACCACCAGTAAAATGTAACCATTATTACAAAAATCACTACATATATAAGTATAGGAATATACCTAAATCTAATTAAACGAATAAAAAAAACTAACCTTACTGATAAGATAATTGTATTTCACCACTAATATAATGAGTGGATAATAATATGTTTGTATTATAGTTTGTGAACATAATCTATCAGAAAAAAAATATATGCAATAACAAAAAAAGAAATACGAGTATTAATTTGAAAATAGCAAAGTGTCGAATGAAACTAGGTTCAAGAATCGTCTACTGATTGTTGTTTATTTTTGATTATTGACAATAATCAATTAATAATCGCGGAAGAGACGGAAGATAAACATCGTTTCAAAAATATTAAATAAGCACGTGTTATGTAAATCACTGGCTAATAAGATAAAAGAACTAATAATTGATGTGCGTAGTTACAGTCTGTTTCATCAGAGAACGGTACCGTCTTGCACATGTAGAATGAACTCATTCTGTCTCGTCCGGCTGAAAAATCCCCTCTACGCCATTCATTATTACCGATAATTAACGACAATTACCGACCTATTTGTCGGGCGTTGGCATACGTTGTGCACGAAGAACGCAGAAAATAAATATATTAATTATAAATTTTTAATAGATCTATTATACGTCTATGGAGTAGACCAGCGTTGTTTAGACCGTACTCCAGGGTTCGGCGAATCTTATGTAATTTTTTCAAAATTTCCAAGAAAATTAGTTCAAAATATCAAACTAAAGATAAGCAATGGGAAAAAAGTTTATATATAGAAAAAAAAAAATTTGCATATTAAATAATAACGTTATCAAGCTATAGGAATAGTCTATCAGTTATCACCTATTTCTAAACTCAATAATCTATACTTCTATAATGTATCTTGTACTATAATACTATATAATATTATTATATTATAATACAACTTCATAAATAAAGTTTAATATTCGGAATATTTGTAAAAATAGAGAGCAATTTCACTCATCCTATTAAAATTTATATTTAGTCTAATTAGAGTAATTATTATTAATTATTATACATAAATACAATTATTATTTTTATTTTTATTTAAATATGTTTTTTTTTTTTTTTTTTAATTGCAAAAAATCCTAAAAAAAAGCTAAAAAGCTAAAAAAAAAATAGGAGTTCCACGATAAAAGAGTACATCAAAAAGGGTTCCACGGATAAAAAAGTTAATGAAACACTAGCGTAACAATTACAATATTGATTGTCGGTGGATGTAACGTGCTACGTAAAAAGTTGTAGTATTTCATTTTTTTTTTCACAAAATAATAAATAATGGTTGAGTTATAGAAAATATTAACAAATAGTTGTTATTTATAACTTAGCTAAACTGTGGGCTTAGATATTACTCGATATTAACAAAAAAATTAAAATAGGACCATATCCAGGCGAAATCGGGGAAAACCCGCTAATACTATGAAATAAAGATAACTCACTGGTTCATCAAAGGTGATATTTCAGTCGCTACATATAACAAGAGCATGTTGCCGATAGAAAATGACGAGGAGTGATAACCGCGATCCGAACAGCGAGTTAATTTTGTGATTTTAGGTGGGGGATGCGCGGCGGCGACCAATTTTGGTCAGAGCACGGCACTGTTCTCTCGTGAAATAGACTATATGCGAATTTATTAAAAATAATTTGCTTGATTGAAAAATTAACTTTAAATTAAAGTAAAAAAAATTATATGATTTCAAGAAGTTAATAAAACCAAGTTAAACTCTGAATTACATATAGTAGAGAAACATTTTCTAATACAAATAGACAAGATATTAAATCATGATATTTTGTTTAAATAAAGTATTAGTGGACATGTCGAATAACACAAAAAATATACAAGAAGATATTAGATAACACGTGTAATAATCATTAGTGCATAATGAAATAAGTGTTTCACTGAACTCCGGAGGTATAATTAGTAAAATTACTTAATGTTAAAACATGTTTAACTGATAAAAAAATATAGAGATCATTCACAGATAAAAAACGTGTACTATTATAGTTAAAATAATAATTTATAAAATATTTTTAGTACTATAGTGTTGTAAGATGTAAAAAACCCAGTTTTACAAAACTATGCAAATAGCATATATGGATTAATGGGATGAATGAAAGTCAAAAATACATACTTAGCATTAAGTAACAAAAATAGATAATGTGATTGTAATAATTATCGAAAAAAAATGTAATGTACCTCGTTTACCTATGTAAGTAACAAAGATGAATAATATAATTGTAATAATCGCCATCATTAAGAAAAAAAAAGAAATGTAATTCAGTACTTTATACCTAATTATTATGTATAATATAATATATGTTGTTGAAAAAAGAGAAAATGTGAATATTTAATTGAATAACATTTAATAATTTGTTATTCATGATAATTATAAAATATATTTCGTATAAAAAAAAATAAAGAATAAAATAGTTATGTCAAAATTAGCTTTTAAGAATAAATTGTATGCAATATTAATTGTGAAAAGAAAGAAAAAAATGTTTGTGAATATAATAGTTTTTAAGGTGAAAGAAATGGGTAAGTGAGGACAACCGTGGGTGTCAATATGAAGAAAGGATAGATCTACCCACCTACACTCTACCTACACTTACGTATCTTGATTTTGAAAGTTACAAAAATAAAAATAAAAATAAAAATAAATAAAGTTAGCCCTTTGCCCTTGCTGTGGTAGTGTATATATAAAACTGAATGAAGTCCAGCCAAGAAAATACTGTTAGAGGTGGTTGGAGTACTGTTATTCCTTGCAATTGGACTTTAAAATATTTACACTACTAGCTTCAACTCAGCTACTGTTGCTTCTACTTTCCAATTATGGGGTCTAGATTTAAATGGACAAGGAGTACATGTAACGATTGTCGTCTATCAACATCGTACATTATTCCTTAAGTAGGGTACACGTTGTTAAAATGCTGAGTATGAGGAATGGCAAGCGGGGTCAACTGCTGACCTAAAACTTTTAAACAGCAATCTCTAGGGCAAATAACGATTACTAATACGTATAGTGTAGGAGAGTGTGCGACACGGAGCAGAACAGATGATAAGAAGACTCCTCAAACGATCCGTGCGGCCATCCTCAATCCACACTCATAGCTTGTCAAATCTACCCGGATCGGTAACCTACGTTCTATTTATATAATTACAAATTATCTGTTAAAATATACATTACATTTATAACTACTGTGCTTTACTTGAATAAGGTAATCTTGATCTCTAGTATATTAATATTACACACCGAGGTCAAGTCCCCGAGATCTCGTTAATCAAAACATAATTCTATCGGTATGGCGACGCGAGATCGCTATATCAGGTGAAGAGGGGACACATTACATAACCTAGGTGTAACAAACCGTAATAGAAATTTCAATTGCACATCCATTTGTGAAAAGCAGCAAGTATTTATTCACAAAAAGAAAATTGTGATGGACATAAATTGTAGCAGAATTAGATTCTCTGTTAACGAAGGAAAATTTATGATTACAATGTTAAACATACCAAAATAGTTGATGAAACTAATGAAAGTAATTTAAATAAAATATCATACGAATGTGAGTAAGGTATTTATTTAAAAAACGTAGACAATAATAATCGTAATTGACGTATTGTGCGAATAAAATAATTAATACGAATTAACCATATGAATAATTACGAAAAACAATCAATTAAATATAAATGCCATAGATAAAATAACATATTCCACCTAGAAAGGAAATTATACTTTCACTAATACAGTAGCTACACATAAACAAATAAAAATTAGATCAAACATCATAGAAACTTAGACTAATTATATAAGTGGAATTTAAAAAATAAGTTCACTAATTTTAAAAAATGGAGGACAATGACATTTTAAAAACATCAATGAGTTCTTGTAACACGGCTCTTTTACTTGTTCATAAACAATCCGATGAGATATTAGGTAGATCTGTAAAAAATATAATAATTATTTAATAAAAGATTTACCTCAGGAGTAACGACTATTTCATAAATAGCACTCTTTATACTTGTGTACATCGCAAAATAATCAAGTTTAAGCTTCCATTGAAATCTAAATATCAATGTGAATATTTCAATCCTATTAATATATGGACATTTTGAATTATTTTTCAGATATATCAGTTGTTGTAACGTTTCTTTAGTTTTTTTATCCATTTCTGTGAAATTAAATGGAATCCCGCTCAAAATCCAACCGCCCGGTCTATTGGCGGTTTCCCACTTATTAAGACTTAATATAAGCTGAAATAAAATTGTGATAATTAATTATACTGCTAGTTTAAAATCAATAAACATAAATGTATTTTATATTGGAGGTGTAACGATTGTCGTCTATCGACATCGTACATTATTCCTTAAGTAGGGCACACGTTGTTAAAACGTTGAGTGTGAGGAATGGCAAGCGGGGCCGACTGCTGACCTAAGGCTTTTAGGCAGCAATTTAAGGTATATAACAAGGACGAATACGTGTAGTGTAGGAGAGTGTGTGCGAGGAGTGTGTGTGCGACACCAGGAGCAGACAGACGACCAGAAGACTCCTCAACGATCCGTGCAGCCATCCACCATCCACACTCACGGCTTGTCAATCTACCCGGATCGGTAACCTTCATTCTATTATATAAATCTTAAATTATCTGTTAAATATACGTTACATTTTATACAATTGTGCTTTACTTAAATAAGGTAACCCTGATCTAGTATATTAATATTACACACCGAGGTCGAGTCCCCGAGACCTCGTTAATCAATACATAACTTTATAGGTAAGAAGATGCGAGAGCGCTTCACGCATGTGAAGAGGGGACGTCACAGAGGCTTTTGCGAGGAAAAATGTATTATATATTTAGTTATATTTATTTTTTTAACAAAAGTGACGATTATATTTAAAGTAAAATAACAGACACGTGTATGTTTGTATTATGGTAATGTTGTTTTTATTGGGAAGATACTGATTGTCGATCTCCGAGAGACTTTAAAGCAGTAATAACTTCTTAAAAAAAAAAAAATAGAAACTTTGCGAGACACACATTTAAAGTCAAAATATTTTTAAAATAAATTAAATGATTAAATAATTATTTTGGTGAAAGTATCTTCTACTGAAGGTGTGTAGATTTTTTTTATTGTAATTACATAGTCATGTTAGATGTTTGATCGTTGTATGTAATTGTAATCAATATTAAATTGCAGATTATCTAAGTGTTAAATTATTTTTGGATTTTAATATGGATTAAAAATACATATGCATATAAATATAAATTAATATACATTTCCATAGAAAATTGTAATCCCATCCAAGACATTAGTTTCAAATCTCTCAGCAATAACAAGACAACAGATCAAAGTAAAAACAGGTATAATATCTTAAAAATTAACAAAATAATTATTGATTTTTGTCACCAGTTTATTTCACTTTCTGATAAATTATTACAGTTATATAGATATTATTTTATGTCAAATCCAAATGACGTATGTATTAATTTTAAAATTATGTCAAAGTATAAATTTTTGTGTATGTAAATACATTTTATGGTTTATAAAATGTTTAAATTTTAAATTTAAACACTCAAATTTTTTTTAACCCTTGGTCAGTGTTTTGGGATTTATTAAACCTCACGTTATAAGATTTTTCATAAAAATACAAGCAATTGAACTAGATTAAATTTTTACCTTCATAAAATCCTTCTTTATAAAGTACTCTATGATGCAAATATTTTTCATAGTTAAAAGTAAAATTTATTTTCCTCATAAAATGTTATTAAAATGTTACTAAAAATTGTAATTTTTTTCATATAATTATCTCTATGTTAACAAATTGTTATTCAGTTCAATTTTAATAAAGTTGTACAATAATATTTTGGTTTAAAATAGGGGTCGGCAACCACACAGCCCATGAACCGCATGTGACCTGCGATAGAAATTTATAATTAGTTTAAAAATATTACACAACATGTAATCTTTACTGATAAAAATTTGGATTTCTCACGAGAAGTAGTTGCACAATTATTGAACAAAAATAGAAATTATGCATAAAAACATTGTACACGTTATCTACGTTTCGTTAAACATTGATTATAATTTATTGTACAAATGAAATACAACTTAGTATTACTGAATCTCAATTCTAGTTTCATATTTTTGTACGTATCACATCGAAAACAAAATCTGCTATCAATAAATTTGTTGATACTAATCAAACTTAAAAATTACATTAATTTTTACTTATTTTTTTTTCCAGTATTATAATATATTTTACTATGTATTTTTTCATTATTAATATGAAGTGTAATTATTATAACTTGTTTGGAGATACTTCAATAGTTAATGTACTAAATAGTGATGTACTTCAATAAATTAAATTTTAAATTACTATAATATTTCGTTTAAATAAAATAACGTGCATTTCAAATTATGGCCCATGAAAAAATGCATTTTTATTTTTTGGCCCTTGACACCAAAAAGGTTACCGACCCCTGGTTTAAAGTAATTTTAAATTGTAAAGTGTAATAAACCCCAACACACTAAATTTTTCCATGGTATATATTTAAAAAATTTTAAATCTTTTTGAATACTTCATAAACATTTAAAATTTAATTTTTTTTTTCAGTAATTTTGAAAAAATTTACAATAAACAATTCAAAAAAAGTTTACATAGTTTCACACAAGTTATTATTAGTAGAATCAAAAAAACAAAAACAAAAAAAAAAATCGTAAATCTGCCTTAGTTTTGTATGCAATTAAATAATAATTTTTTTGTAATAAATTAAGATTAACAGTGAATATTCATTATTTTATTTTATTTACTTATTTTTAAACTCGATTATAAAACAATAACTTTTGTCTCACGCCTTAGCACGGAAGATATTGTATAATCCCATATAAATTTAGTCAGAATATTGCCTAGTAGTTATTTTTCATTACTACTTATTTTCTTAAATTAAAATCCGTGATTTGAGCTCAATTGAACAAATTTAACACGTACCTAGTGACTAAAACCGAAATTTTAGTGATAATAATGATAGTTAATGTTTCAGTTTTTATAAAACAATTATTATAGTTGTTATATATTATGATAGGGATTTCTATCTGATTATCATTATTACGCAACACCGTGTATTTAATACCATCGATAACTTTTTATCGTACTTGAACAGAATAATAAAACATAGTTGTCAGTGTGATTTGTTGTGTAGCAATAGTTTATCTTTAATTCAAAGCTCAATTATTATTTAAATATTTAAAATTTCTACGCGTGAAAAGTTATTTCTTCTTGAGTACACGAATCATCAAATAACTGGTTCAAAATTGCCTGTGAATTGACTATCTAAAAATTTTCTGTGTAAACGCACTCGCGGAAGTGTTTCAAACGGCTAGTAAAACCCACATGAAATGGCCGTGGTAGGACGGCTGGAAGCACAAGACGCGCACAGAACGGAACACGTTCCGAAAAAAAGCCCTCAGGAGGAAGTACACAGACCTCAAGCGGAGATACAACCGTGCCAGCTTCAGAACAAGGCGGACGGCCTGGCGCTCGTTCGTATCCCGCATCAGGAACGAAGAGCCCTGGGGACCCATCTACAAGTGGCTAAAATCCAGGGGAACATGGCCCTTGGAGAAACTAACAAGGCCCGCTTGGCGATTGGAGACATGACACTCTCGACGACCCTGACTAAGGGTTGCCCGCAGGGTTCAAAATTTGGATCTGAACTTAAGAGGAACGCGGTCAATCAGTTCTTGTCCGGCGATTTCCCACCCGATACAGAGACAGTCGCCTACGCGGACGATTTGGCGCTGCTCATCTACGGGAAATACCGTCCGGAGCTCACGGAATGCGCGAACGCGCTGTTAGAAATAGCGTCAAGATGGAACTCTAATAGAAAACTAACCTTCTCGGCGGCCTAGTCGCAAACCTTATGGATAAAGGGCCAACTAAGTAAGCCCTTTGACTTGTGACTTGGGGGGCTAAGATCAAGATGACGCCCGAGGCGAAATACCTCGGGGTCATCTTTGATCCGCAAAGGAAATTTAGTACTCATCTGGCGGAAAAAGCCGCGTCCTCGGTAACGCTATTCAATCGGTTAATATCCGTGGCTAAGGCAAGCTGGGGCCTTAAAGTGAGGACGATAAGGATCCGGTACAAATCAGTGTTCCTACCGTATATGGGTTACACGGCCTCGATCTAGGCTGAGCGCTGGGGTATAACACGATTGCGTACGTTTGTACTTTTTGGCAACACGATTGCGTATGTTTGTAGATGGGTTAAAAGTACCCTTAAGAAAAAATAAATAAACACGATTGCGTATGAAATTGTATGCAACGTTGTCAATTTTAATTTTTTCATCGTATTAATAAATAATAATAATATAAAAAATATTGAATAAATTTAAAGTTCTAAAATAATTAATAAAAAAAGTTAATGGTAAAAAAGTAATTAATAAATAAGTAAGATTAAATTTCAATTCCTTGACATCTATAGCCTACTACTTTTAAATATTGAGTTACATTTTTATGGATTTTTTTATACTCATCATAATCCTTTATGGTGCTTTGGATTCTGTTTAAGTCTTTTTTTGCCATTTTCTTCACTCTCCCATTATTAACCGATTGTATAATCGCTCTGGTTTAGAAATATCTATATAATATTATCTCTGTACGACGTTGCATCAGCGTAATCGACCTATTTACTTAATCTAAGGATTTACAATTTACTTGATAATTCGATTGACAAAAATATAATTTCAAATATAAGACAGATTTTAGAAAAATAAAATGTTTAATTTGACTTCTCTGTATCATGAAACACATTTTTAGTTTACTCTGCTATTTTTTAAGCATCTCATAAGAAATATACAAATGCTATAAAATCCCAACCCTGGTCATATATACCGGTATGAAAATTGGCAACAGCGCTTAAAATTTCGTCGCAATCGTTTAGTTAAAAATCAGGTAAAATCGTACACAATCGTGTACCTAAAAAAAGGTATCGCCGATAACGAACGTACGCAATCGTGTTTTAACGAGCGCTGCATGGCCCAATACCGGCACAGGACACGGGCAAACACAATCCAAAGACGCCCGTTACTGGCAATGACGGGCGCATATTAGACCACATCGACGATGGCGCTCCAGGTAATGGCCGGAGTACCTCCTTTAGACTTAGAACTAGTCCGGCTGGCTAAGATCGAAAGGACAAGGGCGCCGTGTGGAGAAGAAACAAGTCAGCGTCAGACGTTGCTGGAAAGGCG